TCTCTCTCTCTCTCTCTTGTTTTTCTCTCTCTATCTATCTAGCTACCGGCCGATCTCTACACACCTGTAAACGAACGCGTCTGTGTGAGAGAGATAGGGTGTTTGTTTGCTTGTTTGCTCGTGTATGTCTTTTAATTTACTTATATTTGCTTACTTGTGTAGTTTATTGCCTACACATCCACGCCCCTCGCTCTTGAAATTGCCAAATCTCGGTATATTTACATTTATATTCACATAGCCTTCGTACCTACGGGTTCCTGGGAAAGTCTCTTCCACAACCTCTCGAATTTGCCCTTGGCCCAAAGCCCCAACCCCCCCCCCCCCGANNCCCCCACCCCCCCCCCCCCCCCGAACTCCACAAGAGCTAAGCTCCGGGTTCGAACTGCTTGATTGCAGGTGCTGGATACTTATGCCAAGGCAGAGATCGATGCCGTCAACTCCAACGGCAAGCGGGTTGAAGCTTTCACTTGCTTTTCACATTTAGCTTCATGGAGAGGGCGGAGGCCCCCCAAAGCTGCTCAGATGGGCTTCCAAAAGGGCTGACCTCAGCCGTTCATTTCTTTTGGGGCTTGGCTTTCGGACACCACCTCTTAGCCTCTTACATAGGTCCCAATTCTACGACACGCGGATGGACACCACTCCCTGCATCTCAAGGCAAGCAGATCATCCAGTCGATGAACTCGCAGCACTCCGTCATGAACCAGAACTTGGGCAACGCAGCGAAGCAGAGCCTAGGCCTTCGAAAAGTGCCCGAATTCCCCCCCCCCCCGAAGCTCGGAACCTCAAGGCGCAGTCGCAAAATGAATCTCCCGAAAGGTCCCCTGAATCCTGTCCCTAACTCCAAACCGACTTATCCCTACACACCCTCGTAGAAGTCCAAGCCTAAACCCGTACGGAAGGTTTGGAGAGCCATAAAACCAAGTTCCTTGTCAGAATCCTGGGAGTAGAGGCCCTCACGCATCTCAGCAGGAGACCCTTTTCGTTGAAGTTGGTGTACGGTTTTAGTTCGCTGACTTCTTCTCGGGTCTTGACGTGCAAGGGCCTTGGGTTAAGGATTTTTCAGCTTTTGAGTTTTATGCACGCTGATACGAATCCTGGACATGTAATGCACTCGCCCTTTGTGATTGTTGTTTTCCGCAGCCACTTAACAGGGTCCGGCCAGGGTTGGCTTGCCCTGGTCTTTGGTGCTCTGGTCCTCCTCCTCACTACAAACTCACCACTGGTTCCGACGAAAGGCCGTTATGGAAATGAATTTCTATGTAAGCTCTTTCAAACCCTACGTGAATTATTGTGTACACCCTCTAACATCTTGTGGACATTCCTCGACATCCCGCGAAAGCCATCAAAACCCGAACACGTACCGAAAATCTGATGAAATCCTGTGGACATCCTATGAAATCAGATGAAGTCTTATGCAATTAAATCACTTGATGTCGGGTGAAATTTTCTGGAAGTCGTGTGAAATCTTGTGAGTCCTTTATTACATCCTATCAAGATAGGGCTTCATTCAAGACACACTGTCTTGACATACGCAACGAACCTGCAATAGACGTCAGCGCAAGAAATTCGCTGTAAGCTGCTTACGGAAACACGCCCTGTCTGGGGAACCCTTGGGGGGCAGGGGGCTGCTGAAGCCCAGGATCTCTTCCACACCTGAAGCAGCCAGAAGGGACTTTCCGAAAATTAGGGGTACCTTATTTTGGGGTCCTTATAATAAAGATCCTATAATTTAGGGTACTATATTAGGGTNNCCCTATTTTCGGAAACCCCCATAACTTGTTCGATTTGCATCCCTTCGGGTGACACATCCATCACCCTCCATCCACTCATGCATCATCATCGATCCCCTGGCGCGCTGTGGAGATGCTACCTCCATCGCACCCATCAGCAATCCTGGCGAGATGATCCTGCAGGTCGATTCTTCCTGATCCCGTTTTGCTAGCCTTGGCTCCTGGCTCTGTGCAAAGATCATTTGAAATCCCACATGCCTCGCACCGCAAACCATGGAGATCCTGCGAATCTTGACATTTTTCGCGGCCCTTCCGCACCAGAATCCCACAAGATCCCGAGAGACCCTGTGACATCCTCTGAAATCAGACGAAAATCAATGAGACCCGAAGAAATCCTATGAGCTTCCTATGCAATTTTCTGAAAAACAAACCTAATGAATCCCGCAACTCCCGAAAAGAAGTTGCTACTGTTCTTGATGATGCCCTTGTCTCCGGCCGTTGCTAGCTCCGCTGGGACCTGTGAAAAAACCTATATTGACAGCCGTTGGGCTGCCTTCTGCCGTTTTTTCGTAGGGAGAAGTCATCTGCTTGAAGTTGCCGCATTAATGTTGATTTACAGGCCTATTTTATGGATTGGGGGCTATGAAGATGCTGGTCGGCAAGTGTGATCAGCTTCAGAGCAACGCCCTCTCGAGTTGGAGGTCTATACTCGGTTCCTCCGTTTCGCATAGTAGGGCTGCTACTGTTGTAACATCGGTAAAGCCGGAATCTCCTCTCCTGCTTCTTTCCGTTTGTGTCAACAGGCAAGGGTCTCAGTATGATGCGGGCGGTCTTCCGGAGATGCAAGAGGAAATTTCACTCCCGACTGTACGCCCCAACGAAATCACTTCGCTGCCCATTTTTGAAGCCGCTTGCCGCCTTTTGAAGGTCGTTGAGCCAACGTGTGAGCCCTCCCAGGTCCCTAAGCCCTAAGAGCCCCCCCCCCCCCACGCTCATTTACCCCACGTTTTGTACCGCTTCGGAGCTTCGGACCTCTCCCTGCAAACCCCAAGCTCGATCCACGAAGTTCCTCTGAGGATCTTTGACCTCACCCATGAGGAACACAAGGTTGGATGGACGGGGGAGGGGGGCAGGCAGGGTCAGAGGTTCTTTGCGTGACGTTAAATTGACGCTTGAGAAGCTTTCGAGGGTCTTGTTCGAAAAGCCACCAAGGAAAAAAAGGATTGAATTCCGATCCGCGGAGCTGTTGCACCAAGATCGGCCACAGCTGAAGCATCTTATCAAGGTGGAGTCGCATCGATCAGGGGCACCTGGGAGAAAGGGGCATTCCAACAGGAGGTTGGCACCGCACACGGCTTTGGGGTCAGACGTCCGCGTCTGCACCTCACTTCACCCAACGGAGTTAGTACAAAGTGATCGCAAACCAGATGCATCCAGTTGCTGAAGACAGTGGTGAGGAGGGCGAGTCGCATCTCCAAGCCGCAAGCCCCAAACGCCAGTTGTTCCCCAGTGTTTTACATCTTGCGACAGCCAGTGCACGATTGGACCGTGATGCATCCACATTGGATTTGCGTTCAAGGTTTCGCTTTGAAAATCTGGGGTGGACGGGGGGCTGAGGTAGGGGAGTTCGGGTTCGAGGACAGAAGGACCCAATGGAGGTGTTAAGTTTAACAGGATAAGATATGGCCATGCGTCCCGTGACCTACTGTATGCTTCCGGCAGGAACGAGGCTTGCTTGGAGTGTGGGCTAGATAGGTGGATTTGGGAGCTATACCAGCCCGCCTCAGCCACTACATGCATGCTGCAAGGTATATAAGGTTTCGAGCCCGCAGGGCTGCCACCTACAGCCAGCTACCAGACACGAAGATCGGCAATGTCTTGACAGCACCCCAAGCCCTTCCCTAAGCCCTACATCCTAGACTTTAAACCCTAAGCCCCAAAAGCCTTCACCCTGCCAAGCTTGGAATCCTTATATTCGGGAGTGGATGCTTGTGCTTACTGTAGGCTGGTGAAGCCTTCTCGGGTGGGCTTTGTTTAGGATTTGGAATACATGGTACGGATGATACGTCCTTCTGTGTGTGTAGGGCTCACAAGTCAAGATGCTCTTCGGGGCAACCCTAAACCCTAAACCCTTAAACCCTAAACTTACCTTTAAACCCTTAAACCCCTAAACCCCTAAGCCCTAAAGCCCAAAACCGTTGCAGCAGGTCTTGGCGGAGAAGATTGATGGAGTGAACAAGGACTTGGCCGCGACCTCCGATGCCATGAAGGATCTGCAGCCACATGGCAAAAGCAGACAAAGAAGAAGGGGGTTTAAGGCCTTAGGGGTTAGGGTTTAGGGTNNTTGGGGTTTAGGGTTTCGGGCTTTTAAGAAAAGGGCACACACACACGAGAGAAGAAGGGCAGCCTGCAAGGCACAGGTCCCCTGTGCCTTGCCCGGCTCTTCTCTGAGGCAGAGCTGGCCTCGATGCTCTGAGCTTGAACTGGCTTGAAGATGTCCCTCCAAGATCCAAAGAGAATCTATAATAGGGTTCTATAGTCTATAATTGGGTTGTAGTAACTTCAGCTGGAGAACCTGGCAGATGCTTTTGGCATGGGCAAGGTCAGTCTATCCCCTCGTCGCCCCAAGCCGAGGCAGTCCACCGTGCAAGGTTTCAGTGACGCCTTCAACGAGTTTGCCGACTCGCTCACCGACAACAGCCTCTTGGACGGGGGGGGGGGGGGGGGGGGAGTGCCGATCCTTCCTGCTGGCGTAGAAGCTGGAACTGTGACCAAAATTCTACACCAAAGTTAGCAAAGGGAACTGCCTTGGCCTCAACAATAAGGCTGGGTAGCTTTCACCTTGTATCTTGCAGCTGTAAATGAGGAGGAAACGGAGAGATTCCCAAGCCTGGAAGCCTCACAGAAACCTTTTCCATAGACCCCCGGTTTTTCTGAGCTTTCAAGCCGCTGTCTGGACGAGAGGACATGGACTTGAATCAGTCCACACACATGGCCTTGGCATCATTCGCCAACTGGCACCAGGACAACTTCAGGGCTGAAAGCACCCATTCCTTCCTGGCATCTCCGCTTTGAACTGCATTTGTTGTGGCTTGCGCGTCTTTCTTTCTAATGGAAGATACAGCGAAACCCTGGAGGTGGCGGCTAGTTCTTTGGTCATATGAGGTCCTCTAGTCCTTTGCCTCTGGTTTTTCCTGGTCCCCTGGTTCTCCAGTGCACTGTTCTCGGACCTTCCCAGCTTTGCGGTAAAAACGTCACCCTTGAGTGCTGCGTGCTCTTGCCGTGCGGATCGCACCCTTTGTCCGCATTCCCGTCGCGTGTGCCTTGAAAACCCGGATCGAGAACACAATCCACGCGGAAGGATAACTTTTTGGATCCCAAGTTGGATGTTGCAGCGAGGGGTTCCGATGGATGGAGGGGGGATGGAGTCTGGAGTGACTTTGAGATGGGAAGAGTGCGAAGAGGAATCGATGCACAAGGTCGGCAGTGCCCACCTGCAGCAGATCGAGCAGGTGCCTAAACCCATTTTACTTCTGGAGCAAGCTTCTTGCCCAACTGGCAGTTATGTTTGGCTGTCAGGCACTACGCTCGCTGTATCAGCGGATGTCTGCCAAGAAGCAGGCACCAGCGAGTGTAGCCCTTGCCATGACAGGGCAACCAGTGCGTGTTCGGGACGAATCAGTTGCAAGTTCCAATTAGGGTGCGAGTGCAGCTGTTGCACCTGCCAGGACCTGGAGTCCAATCAGACTCTTGCCCAGAAACGGGAGGCAGGAGCACCGATGTTCACCTGTGCACCTGAACTGATTCTACATTCCACTTCAGCTTTGAAGTCAAGTCCACAAATCCTTCCAATCACGGCCTGGTTATTCGGGCACCGGTTCCCAATGTCTGCCCATTGTGTACATTGATTGGGGATGGACGGAATGGGCCTCCTGATGGAATCCCAGATTTCGCAGAACCTCGAAACTCCGTCACCTGGTTTGGTCGGGTGTCTCTGCCTTTGGGGAACCACGGAAGGCTGTCACCAAGCTTCGGGTTTTGGATGCGGGAGGAGCGTTCAAGTTTCCGCCTATGCTAGGGACGCACCAAAGACCCCCCAGGCCTTGCCTTCAGCAGGGGCTTTGCTGCTTGGGTGAAACACTTGATGTGAATATTACACATCAGAAACGGATCTTACCTCATCCGAAGCCCCACGCCCATAATCACACAGCCGCAGTCTTACAGTTATGACGGGCACGTCCTCCAGATATCTATACGCAGCCTGGCAACAGCGACCGCTGCCACCCTGTACACCACGGCGCGCTACCCTGTGGAGGCATTGATCTCTTTGCAGAAGGATGCGAAGTCCACCCTGCACCAGCTCCTGGCTGGTTTATGAGAGTGGGTTAGGGCGTCGCATGCGTAGCGAGGCCGGCTTCTTGTGAGTGGCTTCGGACCAGGGACTTAGGCGCTTTTAGGCTCGGGGTTGAGGGATTAAGGCTGATCGAGCCGGGGGATCTTTTCTCCTTGGTGGGACTCTTTGCCCAAGCTTTCTCTCCAACCAGCTTTCAATATTAAGTACAAGCCCTGAGGCGGGGGGCTTAGAGGGAAGGGCTTGGCCGTTACCCTGTGCTTCTCTGTTGAAGACTTCATTCTTCAAACAAACCTTGGCGAATGCCCCAATGCCAGCAAGCTGACACCCCAGGCTTTTTGACCCTCATGAATGCCCAGATTCCACGACCCGCCCGACATCTCAGCACCTGAAAGCGTTCTTCCTCCCCGACTTTTGAGGCTCCTCCAGTTCCAAGATGCATCGGACATCAACCCGGCAATGGTGGACCAGGCGGGGAAAAGGCACAGAAGATAGCTCCGTAGTCAGTGCCCCCTTGCCACGGTACAGAGTGCCTCTCCGCCGCTGCGGCACTTACAAGCAGAAGGATGTCAGGGCGACTTACTGGAGCTTCACTAGGGTGGTGTCAGGTTTGCTAGTGAGGGAAGTGGGCTGTGCTCAGGCGGCTGGGCGCATCTTGATTTCTTTTGATACTGTCCGACATCGTTCCTCCTTATTGCTGCAGTATATGTAATTACTTTTTTGGACCCCAGAATAAGGTACCCCTAATGTTCGGAAACTCCCAAGTCCACCCGAAGGAGATGAAGAAGCTGCTCAAAGCTGCACAGAACTCGATTCAGAGCCACCACATGTCCGCCGAGCGGATGGGCTTCTTGTCAAAGGCCCAGAGAACCCAATATACCCCTTAATTAAGGAATGTATCTGTATGTATATATATATGCCTTAAATCATAGGGGCCTTAATATTATGATTTATGGTATACATCCCTTAATTAAGGGGTATTGGGCTCTCTGGGAAGACCGGATTTGTCGATGGGACTTCCTCTGTTCAGTCCATCGGGCATAGGAGGCCTGGATATGGCAAACATGGCAAGAGGGGGGGGGGCCTATTTTGCTGTGATCATCCAATTTTAGGGTTTAGGGATTAGGAGTGATTTAGGGTTTAGGGGTTAGGGGTGATCATCCATTTCAGGGGTCTAAGGTGGCAGACAATTTTTTTGCGTCTTTTTGGCTCATTGCTGAGTTTTTTTTGGGTGGATGTAGATGCTTGCCTTTCACTGTGAAGTTGAGGATGCCCTGTGGCAACCAACCCGCCCCGCAAGCTGACCAACCGAAGTAACCGAAGCTCAATACGCAAAATAAATCACTGGCCACAATCCTACGAGACCGCGATTCTCCCTTGTAATTAGTCCAGAACGTTGGGCGCCCCAAGTCACTTCAGGTCGACACATGGAGATCATGCAGTCTGAGTACAATCGACGAGACTCCCTGTCACAGCACCCCGGCTGGGCCGTTTGATGGGAGTCAAACTCTAAACCCCTAAACCCTAGGCCGTTTGATGGGGGGTCTCTTAGATGCCCGCAAAAGGGGACCCGCTCGGTGCGCACGGAGGCTTTTCCGCTGAGATAAGAAAATATAACTTTAATACAACTGTAATATAACATAACGTAAGATCATATCAAATAATTTAACATAATATAAAAGAACTATAATATACTATAATATACCTATAACGGTTGCTGACTTTGAGTCTGTGGTGAGAACACCAAGCGCGAGCTTGAAGCTTCTGTGACGCATCTCCACTTCCTGACGAGGCCCGAGATTAGATGTGCTGAAAATCTGTTTTTCAAACCTTCTACCCGAAGCCCGGCAAGAATCGTGCTATAAGTCCCGCCATCGACCAGAAGTCAAAAGATGAAGTCCAAGAGAGAGAAAGTCTAACTCGTGTCGGCGGCCGGAGAGTCGCACGAATCAGACCCTGCCGTCCCCCTGCTGTGTAAGTTCCTAGCTGTCCTAGCAAAGGAAGTCGAGAATCTCTGTCTGTAAAGCCCAGCATTGATTGAATCAACCAGGCACATTGAGTCGCAGCTTGTCGAGTTCGACAAAATCATGTGCCCTGGCATACGCCGCCCAAACGGGGGCCGTTTTTGGGCGTCGTGCCCTGGGGAAGGTCCAGGTCACCCAAATCCTTGGCCTGGTCAGACGGATGCTGTGATGCAGACCTTACCCTAAGCCTTGAACGGCTTAGGGTTTAGGGTAACGTACTGCTGGCTCCTGTGGATTTGCCGCTCCCATCACTAAGGGTGCAGATTCGTCAGGCAGCTGAGGAGTGCCTTGGCGTGCCACAACGTCGGGGGGGCTTCGATGCTGATGACGGCGATGGCGTGATGATTTGCTTGATGACGGGCCACGATGCTTTTGCAAATCCTTTGTCCTTCTCGTTATTCCCTCCTTCGCCTCGAGACGCATGATTCTATACTAGTTTCGGCCTGATCGCCGCTCCGCGAGTGCAACCTTCTCAGTATTCTTGGGGATTCGCGCAGTCCGTCGTTGTACAGCAGTTTCGGCTTGATCACTGTTGGAATGCCACAGCCAAGCAGAGCCAGGCAGAGCCGGTCCGGTTTCAGGTTTGTAGGGCAATGGCGCATTTTTCGGCCTTGTTCTGTCCAAGGCCATTTTTCCCGAATCTCAACAATGTGGTTTCGGCAGGCTGTTGAGTGATGATGGGACTTGTAATTGCTTGTGATGATGTGTTTGCTGGTAGTTTAGATTGTCATCAAATTTTAATAATTATACGCAGTACAAAGGACAGGGAGAGAGTCTCGGAGGGCCTCGTGGTGCTGACGATGACGATCATGATTCTGATGATGACGGTCATGATTCTGATGGTCGTGGTGGTGGTGGTGGTGGTGATCATTGTGATCATGATGATGATGATGATGATGCTGATGGTGACATCGATGCATTCGTTCTCTCAGTCCTTTAGCGTTGCACAATGCATTCAGGGCATCGCTTTCTAAGGGTTCAGACACAGACTGTGGACAGAAGATCGACCTAAGGTATCTCGAGGATGCCAGCCGACAGGTAAGTTTGGTGAGCCGCCCCTGGGATCAGACTCTGGAACTGTAAACTTGTAGAGTTGACGCTGAATCCTGTAGGATATAGACCAGGAGTACCTCCGGAGCTGCCTCATGTGCAGGATGGCAACCCCTACTTACTTAAGACCCACCTCGCTGGCACGCATACTGTTGCCAAGCTCCTACGTAGACCCAGATCGATGCATGAGACCAACTTAAACTATAGGGAGGGTGAACTCTAAACCATATGTTTAGAATCTAAGTCCGAAACGGCCCTGTCCTTGCCAATGCGAATCCTGAACCGTATCAGTCCAGACTTCTGAGTCCTGAAGGTTCGTGCGTAACACTTGCATGGGCCCTCCCACTTCAGACCTCAAACGCAAGCAGTATGCCCTCTGGCAAGCAAGTGTCTATACTGTCGTGCAAACAAGTTGTATTGTGCACAGGTCTTCACCACCGTTCAGGGTTTGACGTGCAAGGCTTTAGAGCTCTGCAAGTAGGCAAACGGTTGAGTATGATTGGTGGCGTGCAGGGTAGGAAGAATACTGTTTTGTGAAGCGGCGGGCGCCGCGGGGGGGAGGGGGGCTTGGAGGTCGACCAGTTGAATACTCGCAGAAGCAAGGACCAGTTTGGGCAAGCTAACGTTTTCGCACTACATTGATCAATTCTGGTTCTCAAAACCCTTGATTTGTTGATAGAATTGCCGGGGGGCAGAGGGGGGGGTGGGGGGGGGGTCACATGACAGATGTTGCTGACTTTGCTACCTCATGGCAGCGACCTGACTCGACGTGACATGGTTTCAGCTTCTGGGTTCTTACTTGTCAAAAAGGGGGGATGGTTCGTTGGATGCCCGACATGCAAAGGCTTCCACCACCCTTGCGAAGTCTGGTATAAACCCTAAACCCTATGTCCTGGCCGAGTTCAGATCTCTGCGAAAAAAAGAGACCCCAGACTCGTCCATTTTGGGGTTTAGGGTTTGGGGCTTGCTAGAATGCCGCTTAATGCTGGAATCCGACAAGGAGCAACCGAGCTGACGGATCAGTACTTGCAGCTTTGCCGGCATCAAAGGCTGTTAGGATCTCCCCGAAGCGACTGTTACGGTCTTTTGCTTGAAAGGAAATGCCATCAGCACTCTTTCGGGGGTTGCGTTCAGGACGAACGGGCCGGCAAAATGGGGCAATAGTCGGGATTTTGCCGCGGGCCTTGGAGCGCTGAACCATCCCCAACCCAGAGGCCAAAAGCACAGAGCGAAAAGGAAAGAAGACAAGAAAAGCCAGAAGCAAGCCCCACCCACCCACGAACACAGCCACAGACACTCACACACCCACACACAGACAGAGACACACACACACACACACACCGTCACACACACTCATGCTCAGGTCACGGTGCAGTTCCGACTTTTGGGAGCTGTCTTTGGCCGCACGCAAGGCGCTCGCTGCAGGCCCTCCGGATTTCGACCTGAGCCCGAGCCCAAAGCCCGTCAAAGCAGATAAACGCCGTCCCGCTTCAGATCCAGCATTAAAAGCCCGACACATTCTGCGGTTTGGTCAGATACGGTTGATGATATAAATCTTGTTAGGGTCTTTAAGGTAATGCAGGATTTATATCATCAACCGTATCTCCAGGGCTCAGGCCGTTGCCAGCAGATTCCATTTGCCGCCCTCAGGCAAGAAAGCTGCTCGCTCCTCGCGAATGGCCATGAATCGAGCGACGTGGCGCAAGCATGGCTTGTAGGTGGCTGCCGTCGTGGGATTGCTGCCGTAGCTCGGAAGGCGGATGCTTCGTAGTGACAACATGAGCACACGGCTTGCATGGTGCATTTGAAGCACCTGACCAAGTCCTGCCGCACAAAGGGGCCACTGAATCAGCATCTTTAGGAACCAGAAGCGCTTCTAACAGGGGCTGCTGAGAAGCGTTTAGCTGGCATATGCTTGGCATATGCTTATGCCCGAGCACGTCTTGCATTGCGATTTGAGATCCGAGCGCAGTTTGCAGTCAGTGCTCGCGACCTACCGAAACCGTCATTTTGGCACCCGCTCAATTCCGGCCGATTGAGTGGCCAAAAGCTAAATCCCATCTTTTGCCACCGTCATGCAAGATGCCCAAGCCTGAACTCCATGCCCAAAGCAATAAGATCTTCAGTTACTCGAGCATCCCAAAGAAAAGCTGGAGAACAACTCCCTGGCACCGTCAGGTGACTCGGCAGGTGGGCCTACTCGCAGCCCCTTCTGCTCAATCGTTTTGGACACATAACTTCTTTTGTTGTTTCGGGGGCACATAGGGGTTGGGCTTCGTTCTAAAGCTTGCGTGGCTCTTGGGTTCCTGAGTGTAAACTGGCAACAGGACTCAGAAGAGTTGTTGTTGTCATCGCCCTGGAAACACAGCCTAGGAAATGGATTGTATGTTATGCATACTGGCTTAACGGGCGTATGAACTTATTCTCTGGACGGAGCCCCACGAGACCTCAGCGGTATCTTTTTATTACTGTTATCTGCAGTTGGTGACATGTAGCACCCTTGATGTCAGACCCACAGCGTTGCAAACGGCAGGATGGGAGGGTATAGGGTAGTAGGTTTGGCTGCGTGCCCTTAGGATAGGCATGAAGGCTTACCTTCTTTTGCTGGTATGCAACAAAAAGCAGGAGCGATTGAATGCTTAGACCACTGATGCCTCCGAAGAAGGATGCCTGAACACGAAGCCCTGACTAAACTCTCAAGGCCAGACTCTGAATCCGCATGAAACCTTTGGAAACCTTGCCCTCCAATGAACACTACACTAAGCCCTGATTAAGCTCTCTAGGCCAAGCTCTGAATCCGAAGCGAAAACAAAAACTCTCGAAGAATTGCCCTCCAAAAGATGAGGACATGCTCGTGGATGGCGGGTTGGCACGCCACGCGAGCAAAGCGGCAGCTGCCAACTTGGCAGCAGAGGCCCCGAAAACCGTCGCCGTCATCGTCTTGCAGTAAAACTTCGGTATTCCTCCTGCTCTAAGCCTTTACCGTGAAGATCTTCAAAGCCAAAGCAGCCCTTTCAAACAAAAAGGCGCTGGGGTTCAAGAGGCAGAGCAACATGCAGTGCGCCGCGGGCCACGAGTCCAACGAGCTCATGCAGGACGCTAAGGGCGTGACAGCTCTTCATCCTACACCTTCATACTCCCCCGCCCCCCCCCCCAGACTGCCTTCAGTTACGGATCCTTTAAAGAAGTTGGAGGTTTGCAGGACTTCCAAGGACCGCCATCTGTTCTCTTCACGGGCTCCTTTTGAACAGCGTTTGTTTGTGGAATTCCTTGACTTTTGTCCGTATTTGTTTCTGAGCCTGTAGTTCATTCGTTCGCATGGATCCTCCCTAAGCACCCTGTCTAAAATCCCTCCTTGAAGCTTCTTGAACCGATCTATCTGGGGTCCCTTCAGAAAAGGAGCCCGAAAATGCAGATTCCAAAAGCGAAAACCTAAGCCTGAAGCCCTCAGCACCATCCTCCCTCCGCCATACAGGGATCTTATAGTCTAATTTCGCGGATTCCAAAAAGAGGCCCTCCAGAGAGACAGAGAGACTGGCCTGGCTACTTTTTGGTGCAGGAGCCTCTCATTCTGGACAGCCAAGCGAGCCAAACGTCTTCCGCTTCTTTGGTGGCCAGTGCCCCGTCGCACCCACAAGTGGGCCAAAGAGCAGCCCACTTAAATCGAATTACACCTGAAGCCTTGAAGCAGTACACGAAGCAAGCCATGGTTCAGATCTCTCCAAGGTAGTAAATTCTACATACCTTAAATCTCAGGGTTTTGAAGTGAAGCTGTGTGCCGGTTTGTCCATCCCACTTTTGAAGAGAGCCGCCTGGGCCGTGGGGCTGCTACACTTGCGGTTTGGACGTTGCTTCAACTGCGAGTTCCGTGTTAAAGCGTACTTCACATAGGTTTTTCGGTGCCTATCCAAGCATCCCGAACTTGCCCACGCACGTGGAGGGTTTGAATGTCGATGACCACCCTGCGTATTCTCTGTTAGTGTATTCACCTCATCCTACAAATAATTCCTGCTCCCCTTCTGTCTTAGGGATGAGAGTCTGAGAAGAAACTGATGGGGTAATGCTGTTGTAGCTTATCTTTGCTTTGCCTGAGCTGATAACCTGCATCACTTTGGGTATCCATCGCTTCGGCCCGGGAGTGTCCTTTCGATGGGTCGTTAGTGGAAAAATCACCGCATCTCCGGGGTTTCAAGTTGATCGCTCGCATGTAGGTTTGCGCTAGCACTTCAAACGTGTACGCCCCGTTCCGATTGAAAGCCACCACTATCTGTCTCCTAGGCTCCTTCATGCAGTCCAACGGCCCCTGCATTGGTTGGGGTTCCACTGGTTTGACGGTCGAGAGGCACCGGGGGGCAGATGGGGTGGGGCAGTACCACGATTGGGACCGGAAGTTATGTAGGTACGACGACAGCCATGACCGACGACGGAAGAGCTTGGGCGCTAGGTGTGTCCATAAGAAGCCTGTTCCGGCATGGAGATAGGAACTTGGGGCCAGATCTGCAGAACAACCTGCACTGCCGCAAGCCCACGGGTCCCTAGGTCCTATTGAACCCCCCAAGCCAGGTGTCCTCCGATGAGGAGGAGGTCCCTGACGAGGCCAGACCGTCGATTTGGAGATGTCGGTGCTTGGGCCGTGGGATGTCGGGTATTTAGCAATTGCAGAATTGGAATGGGTTTGGGCTTCTTTTGAGCTTAGATCCCACTCCAGTTGGTTTCGGAACTCGCCTGGAGGGTGTTTTGAATGTTAAAGTCAGCTGACGCGGCTGGTTCCCGAAACGCCGAGTGGATGTCGATCTCAACCAGTACTTTAGCCAGAATACAGAGAGAGTGGCGTCTGTGATTGTTGTGCAACCATCGGGTCGCTCCTTCCTGCATGTTTGTGGGGCCTGCGGCTCGCCGCCAGGATTCAGGCCAATGAAGACGGTTGGCTGTTGAGTGTGATATGATCCTGAGACACTGCAATCACGTACCTGCAAGATTTTCCCAAGAGTGCTCACATCCGACTGAGGCCTGTCAGGTCAGCATCCGGATGCCATGGAAAGGGATGTCTGGCACGTCTCAGAGCAAAGATTTTCAGAGACAACGTGTTCTTCAACAGCATGATAGATGCCAGCCTTCCCATGAGGATCTTGACTGGTGAAAGGTGGCGTCAACATCTCAACCGGTATTAGAGGGCCTCATCCCCATACGATTCATTTGTTCTGGCCGCGTCTGTCTGTGGCTGTCTGTTTGTCGGTCTATCTGTGTGTGTGTGTGGAATTTCCTAAGTCAGGAACTTTCTCTGGCACGGGGCGGACAGTAACTGTCTTGTTGAAGGGTCCACGGACCTTGCGAAGCAGCGAAGACACGAAGTCTGAACCAGCACTCATCGAGTCATAGCGTGCGTATTTTCTGGGTCTCTGAGGAAGGTAGCATTCAGGAAGCTAGTAAGTGTTACTGCACACAGGTCACCCAGGAGAGGTGCGCAACCTTAAATCAGAGAAGCGCGCCTGAATCCTGAATTTAGATGAAGTGGTGAAGTCCATTGAACATGCAGGTCGTGGGTTCTGGGGCGGGGAAATCTTCTTTCAATCTTTCCTACTCCCAGACAGCAAGATTCTGTACACCCAGCTGGAAAAAATAAGTATGCCAGGCAGAGATCCTGACGTTTAAAATAGGAACCTGAACCTAGCTTGACCTCCAGCAGGTGTATACACCTTATGTTTACAGGAGGTTTTTCAGGAGAAGACAGGAGGACATGTAAGAATGTAGGATGATGCCTGCGCCTTCAGGGCGGAACAGGGAGCAAAGCGGCAAACTTCAAGCCTCCTTCCCTGACCTTGCCATGTAGATCTCTATAGGTCTTGCAGCTCGGTTTTTTCATAGGTGCAGGAGTGCCTCCCCCCCCCCGCATGTAGGAGCCACTACACCCCCCCCCCCACCGAAGCTGAGCTCCGCATGGAAGCCTGCTCTGCTGCAGGTGGTGCAGCCCGGCCAAGACGCGGGACTCCAAAACGAAGCTTGGCAAGGACATGGAAACAAGGCATGTGCCAACTGGTCGCTTGGTGCATTTTAAACAGAAGCCTAATCAGAAAGTTTTCGGCCGTCACATTCTGGGTTCCGCCGAAGTCACCCACTCTTCCCAAACTCCTCTCGAAACCTCAAGACCTATGTTTGTAGCTCCTCCTGAGGGCCTTATCTACTGAGCCCAAGAAAGGGGGGGTACTACGGTTCACGGGCACCCAACGATAAGACCCCGAACTTGGAATTCGCAATTTCAACCGTAGGCCCTATCCACGAGTTTGCAAGCAACTGCCCTAAGCCGTGAGCCCCACACCCTAGACTTTAGACTCTATAGAACCTCGAACCGATTTTCATGGATCCCAGCTCGCATTGATGTTTCTTTGGCCAAGACCCTTTGCTTTGCCCTCAGCCGTTGACCAGGCGGTACAGCTCTTCCAGGCCTTGAGCGTCCAAGACTCTGCATCCTCAACAGCTTCTGCCTTGCTGGACTTGTGCCTTGGCAGGCGGTGGAAAGGCGTGTAAATGCACATGTATCTTGTTTTAACAATACATACATAAATATATATATATATATAGATATAGATATAGATATAGATATATATATATATGTACATATGTATATATGTCAGGAAAGCTAATTCTCTAGAAGGTGAGCTTGAATTTAGGTGAACCGCGAGGTTTCAGGCCG